GCAGCATGGTGTTCTTTTTTGAATAGCTTTGTTGTCTGGAAGGTTAAGGATGTAGAGTCTTTAATGGAGGATTTGGTGAAGGCTGCATGCCAGATGGAAATCTCTATGATGAAAAAATACAAGGTGATACCTGAAGGAGATGATAGTGCTCTTACAGATGATGTGAAAGCTTTTCAGAAACAGGTTCTACTATTTGCTTTCTTTCCTCTTTTATGCATTGCAATCAATCAAATGATCTTACTTACTTGGTATTGGAATCTTCTTCAGATGCAGGTTACAGAACATCAAAAAATGTTGAAGGAACAAATATTCCACCTGAGTGGAGAAGCTGGAATAAACCGTTTGGAGAATGCTCTTTCTAACACAAGAAAAAAGTACTTCCAATCAAAGGAGAAAATTTCCTCTATTCAGTCACCACTTAAAGACCTTGATTCCAATGTTCCTAGCAGTTCAGATCTTGTAAACCAAAATGATGAGATTCCAATTCCACGAATGGAGAATGTATTCATTGTGAATGAATTTCTTCATGGTCAGCATTATGATAGTTTGACTATGACTGATGAAAACCAAAAGGTGGTAAAAACTTGGCTTTTTATACATAATACAGTATTCATTTTTTTTTCCTTCCTTTTTTAAATTTTGCTTCCAATAATTTATATTAACAGGTACGCAAGACAATGGAAAAAGCTTTCTGGGATGGAATCTCGGATTCTATAAAACAGGAAAAGTACGATCATGTTGTTATGTTAATGAAGGAAGTGAGAGATGAGCTTTGTGAGATGTCACCTCAAAGCCAAAAACAAGAGATTCATGAAGTTATTGATCTTGATATTCTTTCTCAGGTAGGATTTTGAGATTTTCATTAACATATCAACTGTAAGTGTAAGGATTCGATTTTTTTTTATTATATCATTGAAAAATATTTCCTTCATTCGTTTCCTAGTTGTTGAGTTCGCGTAGTTTGGACATGGAATATCTTGGGAGAATCATGGAGTTTTCATTAGTCAGTTTACAGAAGCTTTCAGCAATAGCACATGAAAACAAACTTAAAGAATCTCATCAGAAAGTTCTCTCAGAGCTAGCTGAATTATGCCAGGCTGGCGATGGTTCAAATCATTCACACGCAATTGCATTGATAAAAGGTTTGCGGTTTGTACTCGAGGAGATACAGGTGCATGTTTTTCTCTTATGCCTTTAGGCCCCGTTTTTTACACGGGACATGAACAAGCTTTCCAGGGCTATTTTCGATGATAAAGATGAGAAGGGCATTTACGTCTTTTTACACATACAAGAGATACAGAACATGTCCATGTCCCACCTTTTTTAGTAGGACAAAAGATTTTAATTTTTTTTTTTTTGTCTCGTTGACATCAGTCCTGGTCTCAAATCCAATACATGTCAAATGCATTTGACATGTATTGGATTTGAGACCAGGACTGATGTCAACGAGACAAAAAAAAAAAAATTAAAATCTTTTGTCCTACTAAAAAAGGTGGGACATGGACATGTTCTGTATCTCTTGTATGTGTAAAAAGACGTAAATGCCCTTCTCATCTTTATCATTGAAAATAGCCTTGGAAAGCTTGTTCATGTCCCGTGTGAAACAAACACAGGCTTATATTCAAAATATGAAATGCTGTTTCCATGTCAGGTGCTGAAGCAAGAAATTAGCAAGGCACGTATCAAGATGATGGAACCGTTACTGAAGGGACCCACTGGCGTGGAATATTTAAAAAAAGCTTTTGAAAAGGTGTATGGTCCACCATCTGATGCCTTGATTCGTCTTCCACTGACTATGGAATGGCTTTCATCTGTGGTTCCTTGTAAAGATGAGGAATGGAACGAACACAAAAGGGTGTTATTAGAGTTGCAAGATGAAAGGACTGTTCTGCCCTCCACTGGTCTCAGGACTGGTGGAAGCTTCTCTAGTACATTGCATATTTCATCCAACACTATGTCATTGTCTCCCACCGATAATCAGTATACAGAATGCAAAGGAGAAAAAGGCGATTTGCTAGTGAGGTTAGGTCTTGTTAAGCTGGTGAACAATGTTAACGGTGTGATGAAGGAGGAGTTACCCGAAACCCTAAAACTCAACTTTCTGAGACTCAGAGCTGTTCAGACTCAACTTCAGAAGATAACCGTTATTGCTACCAGGTAATAAAAGTTTGAATAAATTACATTTATGGTCCCTTCAGTTTTGTTGATTTTAGAAATAACATAAACATTCCACACAGCATCTTAGTTCTAAGACAAACACTTGTAATGGATGAAATGATATCAAATACCGAGGATATGGAACGTACGATGCTCAAATGCTCTACGCAGCTTTCCGAGACACTTGACACGATCATAGATGCTGGTTTGGAGGAGCTTGTTGAAGTTTTGAGTAAGATATCTGAGGATTTGGATAAATTCGATGACGTGGCAAAAAATGAGTCGAGAAGGGTTGTGATGGCAAGAATGTTGAGGAAAAGTGTACAAGCTGGGGACCCGGTTTTTGTTAAGGTGTCACAAGCTGTTTATTTGGCGACAAGAGGAGTGGTGCTTGTTGGCGGTGGGAATGGCAGAGAGGTGGGGGAAAAGGTGCTCCGGCAAGTTGGTGCCGCCGGTTTGGCTGAGAAGGTGGTGGAAGTCGGGGAGGTGTTGGGAGTTATGAGTAGGGTTAGTGGGAATGTGCATGGACCATGGTATGATTGGTTGATTGAGAGTATGTGAACATAAGACATATAATCTGCTTTCTTGTTCTCTGTACATTGTGATTTACCTGTCTATATTAGCTGTGAAACCCGTTGGTGGGGACACACACGTCCGGCTACCTGAGTGTATTTTGAGGTCATTTGTGTAAAATATTATATGTACAAATTAATGTCATTACAAATCCCGTTAAGATCAATATTATATGATATTTAATTATACGATATTTAATTTATTTTCTTATTTATTAAAGGGTAAATACCACAAAAGTCATTAAGTTTACACGGACATTTGATTTTGACACTGCATTATTTTTGTTTCAAATCGGAAATTGTGTTTCCAATTTGTTATATTTGACCGGTCAACTCGGTTGTCTGCTGATGTTGTATGTTGATGTGTCAAAATTGAAAAATTTTACACAAAAGACATTAAGTTCATTTTTTTTCAATTTTGACATTAAGTTTTAATTTCTTTTAAAAGAATTTGACACTACAGTTTTTTGTTCCAAATCGAACATTATTTTTTCCAATTTTGTTCAATGTTGACAATTTTCTATTTGAAACAATATAAATAATTGTTTTTCATTTGAAACCGTATAAATACATTTTTTTTTCATTTTAAAATCATATTTGTTTTATATAATACAAGGTTTTTTACATTTAAACCATAATGTTATATGTAAATATGTATTGTTTATATTATAATCATATTTTTCATTAAATATGCAACTTTAAAATAATTTAGAGGTGTGTTATTTACAGTCAGATATAATTGACTAATGTTGTCTCGAGAACACACAGGTATGTGGTCGCTTTAATTACCAAGGGGACTGTTTGTTGTATATATTAATAATTTTTGGTTTTTGCAGATATACCTCTTTCATTTGTTGGAAAAAATTATAACATCCTAATAATACATGTTAAATAAGATTATAATTTAATTAATACATATTTAGTTTATCTATAAAACTAGAATATTTTTACTAGATTATCTATAAAGAATGGAAGAATTCCAATTAAATACATCACCTAAATAGATAACAAACTAAATATGTATTAATTATATTATAACCGTATTTTCATACATTATTAAGATGTTATAACTTTTTCCAACAAATCAAGAATTATATCTACAAAAACCAAAAGTCATGAATATATACAAGCGGTTCCTTGGTAAGTAAAGCGACCTTCGAATCTCTGTGTTCCAAAGATTACATTAGTTTAACTGACTGTTGATTTACATCCAAACTCATTTTAGAGTTGCATATTTAATGAAAAATATAATTATAATATAACTAATGGATATTTATACATACCATTTTGGTTTGAACGTAAAAAACATTGTATTTATACTAAAAAAATATGGTTTTTAAATGAAAAAAAATTGTATTTATACGGTTTCAAATGTAAAATAATTATTTATACGATTTCAAATAGAAAATTATCAATAGTAAACAAAATTGGAAAAAATGATAGTTTAATTTAGAACAAAAAACAGAGTATCATAATTGAAAAAAAAAATGTTTTTTGTGCAATATATATATATTTTTTTCAATTTTGACAAATCAGAATGCCACATTATCAAAACTGACATGTCATCATGCCACATCAACAGACAACTAGGTTAACTGATCGAGTGGTCTAAACTGTAACAAACTGGAGACACATTATCCAATTTGAGGCAAAAAATAACATAATATTATAATCAAATTTTCGTATAAACTAAATGATTTTTGTGGCATTTACCCATTATTAAATGATATTAGAAATAAAACGATGTATTGATAATAAAATATCTTGCAATTATATATTTTATGTAAATTCAACAATTTACATCATAAAACGGACAAAATAAAGCTTATAGAGTGATGGCTTTACAAAAACATGAAAAAATGCAAATGTCATCCATCATAGACAAGGGTTAACTACAATGCACACAAAACACAAAACACAGTACAATCAAAAGACATAACATAAAACATGCATATACATTCCGGTAATCAAACCTCAAATCCATTAATGTACAATTGAAGCACTAACTATAACCCAAATTATATTCAAAGCTAATCTTCTTATGATTGGACAGGTGATTACCATGTGATGTTTTATCCTAATCGATTAAGTGGTCTTCCTTCATATTATATATAATACACAATGTACAACAACTTTACCCAATGCCCACAAGTTTACAATACAAACTATGAAGCAAAATGAGAAAAAGTCTAATATAACCTCTACCTTCATTGGTGAATTTTGAATCATCTCTCTTATAATTGAGTAGCTGCAAGTTGCCTAACACGTCTTCTAAGCACCAATCTATGGCATATGCCAATCAAACACAGGATTACAACTATTGCTATAGCACAAATATCAAACAACCTCCTTACCCCTATAGTCCCTGCAAAAAAAAATACATCTATTATTTCTCAATTCATATCATTCCTCTCATTATAGACAACAATATGAATGTAGTACACAACAATATGGTGTAGTGAAACAAACCTGTTGGAATGAAGTCAAAGGAACTCATATTATAAATGCAGGACATCAACAACTGCAATCAGTAAAAAAAAATGTCAATTAATTTTTAAGCCCATAAAAAATACTGCTTTAAGTGATTAACTTACAGCAAAGATACGCATTGCATAGTAGTTTCCTCTGAATCTATCTGGATCCATCAAACCAGATAACATTCTTCTAAATACATCAGGAACCTCAAAAACTTTCTGCCAATTGCCAAAAGGAAAACAAAAATCAAAAAAGAAATTTAAAAGAAAGTGATAATGGTGTATTATTATGTAAACAAACCTACCCATATGACACCACTAAAACCACCCTGGAAAAGGCGGTTATACCTTTGAACATTTTTTAGAGCTTCCATGACTTCAACTTCATGGATAATCAGTAAAGATGCCTCTGGTGTCAACTCGGTAATGGGTCGTGCACAAATTGGGCAATTGCATTTTTGAAGAGCTGTTCTGTATGTCCAGAATTGGAGTATGCAATTTGCTGTATATGGAAATCAATAAACCCTTGAAAAACCATTGACGGGGAAGAAGAAGAAAGAAAGAAATGATGTAGAAAGAATTACCACAAAACCAGTGTCCACAGTTTGTTTTACAGGCAATTGAGAAATCATCGAAGCAGATTGGACAGCAATCATCGTCAGGAGGAGTATCTGTATCTACACCATGCTTCTTCCTCTCGGAAACAATCAATAACGCAGACTTTGAGTTTTCTTGTTCATCCTCCTGCATCAGATCTAAACTAGGGTTTTCCTGTTCAAAACCTTCAATTTTTTCATCGGAATTATCTCTAGGGTTTTCGTCTCTCTCATCAGCATCAGACCCATCGGAGAGATAATGATCATTTTCATGATGATGATCATCATCTCCTTCATTTCCGTCAAAAATCTCAACAATTTTAGGATGTTTAACGCCGTCTTGGTGAGGATCTTCATTCTTTCTTTTCCTCTTTCTTAGCAGAAACAAAACCGTCGTCCACTTCCTCTTCCTCACCTGGAAATTAAGGTTTCTGATCATCTTTTTTTTTGTTGTGAAAAAAATTGAACAGAAAAAAAAAATCAAAAACTGGAGATGAAGCTGAGGTTGTTAGAATGAAAAAGACGGATATTACAGAGAAATTGGACGGATCCTTTCGATTTTGATTATTTCATGGTCGTCTTCCCTCGAGTCCTTCGATTCGTTGGGTCCCGCCATGCTATCCATTCTGAAACCGCGTGTTTTACATTTTCATGCCCATTGTTTTCTATTAAATACTTCTGGATAAACAAATTTAGAAAAGTATTTAACAAAAAAAAAACAATATATTCAACCATTTTTTTAACAATTTCAAGAAAAAATATACAACAAGACAAGACAAAACAATTTTTTATCAACTAGTTTGAATACTCACAAATTTACTTATTAATGACAAGCAATTTCATTTCAGCTTACCACACAAGAATTATGTATCAACAAGGAATTCTGGGTTGTAGTTTGATCAAAATAGCCAACAAGAGATATTATATTCAAGCATATATGGAGTTCATAGATTCAACAAGGTCTTACAAGGACAAACACAAAAATTCACTTACTACATATACAAGAATGTTGATACATATAGGTGTTTACCAATTTTCCAACAACGCGATGAAACTTTCACATGTCAACAATTAAGCATGTGAACATTGAAAAATACTAAATTAACATACATAGCAAACTTTGATATACATATCCATGATGTGATTTTAACTGCGAGCCTTGTCCTACAATTGTTCTCACCAAACGACAAGTGAATTTAGTGAAAGCTTTTCCTATATGCAATTATGGTTATCCGTCCGCTGACTTTAAGATCATGTGCGAAGAATAAAGTGTGCCCCTTAAATATATTTTTGTTGAGTGAACAACAAAACAAGTTAAGCAATTTAGACAAATGATAAACAAACTTCGGTGAAACTTGCGGAATAAAACTTTTGAAAACTAAAATTAAAAAATGAACACATTATTTAACGTGGTTTGGTCAAAGTGACATTGTAACACCGTAAATTTTCGAACAGATTTTTCTTTTTTAAAACACAATAAAAATATGTCATATTTTCTCTAAAATCACAGGTATCAATTTATCAACATATTTCAAAAGTTGTTTATCGCAAATCCAGGATCCTCCAAAAATATATCTCTACTCAAATGTGTGTACAATTGAGCCGGCGCCTTCCCGCGATCCTGATAAGAACCTGAAACACATAACACATAACACGGTAAGCACGAAGTTTAGTGAGTTCCCCAAAATATCACACAGCACATCAGCCACTCGAGGCTATAACCCAATAAGACCCTCCGGTCAATGTGGCTCAGTGGGACCCTCCAGCCCCACAACTCAGATGGACCCTCTGGTCCCTCAACTCAGCAGCTCAATATAATACACAGTAAGCATATCACATAACAAATAGCAGGATATCTCAATACACAGCTCATTCACATAAGACCCTCTGGTCACACATAAAATTACCACTCAAAGTAAGTATAGTGAGAAGACTCACCTCGCAAGCAGGTGAGCAAATAACCTCGCACTCGGATCTCGAACTGGCCTCCGCCTAACACAAAGGATGAATATCTCTAATCAATATTCTTTTCACGACTCAGATAACCGAAGGCTATTCTTTCTCTCTCAAACTCTTTGGAGTGGGTAAAAGACCATTTTACCCCTCCATGGTCTCTATTACTCATGTTGACCAAAACCCCAAAGTCAACAGAAGTCAAACTCGAGTCAACAGTCCATGTTTGACCCAACTCGCCGAGTGCACCCTTGTGACTCGTCGAGTCCCATCGTTTTCCACATAAGTCTCGCGAAGGTTGACTCAGCTCGTCGAGTTGACTCCCAACTCATCGAGTGATCGCATGATTCAGCTCTACGGGGCAACCCTAATCAACTCGTCGAGTCGGCTCATTGACTCGACGAGCCAAATTGTTAAGATTTATGGAGTCATGAACAAATTGACAAGTTCCTAAAAGTTCAAGGGCCATGAATGTAACTTAGCAAATTAAACAATTTAATTGTATTGTTTAATGGAAAGATGGACGGTGGTTCAATTATTTAATATTGAATGGACACACATTTTAGGTGGAATAGTTTTGGACGGCATATATTTCAATTCAAATATGGCGGCTCAATTTCATGTGCAAATTGCGGCTCACAAATATATATATATATATATATATATATATATATATATATATATATATATATATATATATATATATGTATTGCAAGAAGAAAGTGTGCAGCAGCGTAGCGCAGAACAACAAAAGTGCCGAGTGATATTATCATTTGTAATCTTATAGTGAGTTAATATAAAATCTAGTTGAGCCCGTGGACGTAGGATTTACACCGAATCCGAACCACGTAAAATCCTTGTGTTCTTTATTGCTTTATTTTTCGTGAGTTTGTGAGTGTGTGACAGTGTGTTTCCGCTGCGTGTACCCGGTCCAATTCCTAACAACTGGTATCAGAGCCAGATTAGCGAGGTTTGGAGGGTACGATCGTTTTTTTTATCACGCACGAGTGTACCTGATTTGTATCTTGTTTGTCATAATGGCTGAAGACAAGGTGATAATCGAGAAGTTCAACGGTTCTGACTTTAGCTGGTGGAAAATGCAATTAGAAGCATTGCTATGTCAGAAAGACTTGGACATGGTACTCGGAGACAAACCGGAGAAAATGGAAAAAGCTGCTGAAGATGCGTGGAACTCAAAGGACAAGAAAGCCAAGGCGGTTATTACATTGTCGTTGACGAAGAGCGTTGCTTTCAACATCATGAATGAAACCACGACACGTGGTATGATGGAGGCTCTGTCAAATATGTATGAGAAACCATCGGCGGCTAACAAGGTGTTCTTGATGAAGGAGTTGTTCACTACAAGGATGAATGAGGAAGGCTCAGTTACGGTTCACATTAACAATCTAAATTCAATTCTGTCCAGATTATCATCTGTGGGAATTAAATTTGATAACGAGACTCAAGCATCACTGCTACTAGCTTCTCTACCTGATAGCTGGTCCGGAACAGTTACTGCTGTTACGAGTTCCGTGGGGACCAGTGGTATGACTTTTGAAGGGGTTAGAGATTTGGTTCTAGGCGAGGATATCAGACGCAAGAATCAAGGTGGATCTTCCTCTTCTGATTTATTAAATGTCGGAAGAGGTAGAGGGAATAGCAGGAATAGTGGGAGCAGTGGGAGTCGGGGAAGAAGTTCATCTAGAACTAAGAAGAATGTGAAGTGCTGGAACTGCCAGGAGGTGGGACATGTTAAGAGTCAATGTCCAAAGAAAGAATTGAACATTGCTGATGCTGAGAATTTTTCTGGGGATGATGCATTGTTACTCAGTATGGAAAGTTCTGTAGACTCTTGGGTCATGGATTCAGGGGCTTCGTTTCACGCCATGGACAACGGGGAAACGATGGTGAATCTAAAAGAAGAAGATTTTGGAAAGGTACGGTTAGCAAATGACGAGATGCTTCAAGTAACGGGCATGGGAGATATTGATTTGGTTACTTCATTGGGAACTACATGGAGCCTGAAGGATGTCAGGGTGATTCCGGAGCTGAAAAAGAAATTGATTTCTGTTGGTCAGCTGGATAAACAAGGACTGGAAGTAAGGTTTGGAAGTGGTAAATGGAGGGTGGTCAATGGTGATCTGGTGATTGCTCGTGGTATGAAGTGTGGGTCATTGTATATGGTTGAGGTACCTGATGAGGGAAGTATGACCGTCCCTGTTAAGCAAGACAAAATCTGGTTCGCTAAATCTACGGCTAAGAGAGTTCATTTTGCAAACATGAATTCTGGAGCCAAAGAGATGTTAGCTGAACGAGTTCAAAAGTCTAAACCATTCAGGGGATTCTGTTACAGTGGGAGCACGAGACGTGTTTCGGGTACAGTTACAAAGAGCCGTTGGGTTTTGAAGACTAAGACTGAAAAATTCTCTCCTGTTGAATGTTTGCAAAGTTGGGAGAGTGTTAGTGGTCCTCATTGTATCTCTGGATCTGGTGGAATGTCCAAACCGGTTGAGACAGAGGATGAGTTGGTGGCGGGATTATCCACGGCTGAGTTGGAGCTAGTGGGAGCTTCAACTGGCCCTTCTAGAAATTGATGATGAGGGGCGGCTGCAACTAGAGAAATCAGACTAAGTTTTAGCTTGTTCATTGGAACTGGAAGCCTAAAAGGACTTGGTTGTTTTTTAAGATTACTGGAATAATTGAGAGTTGAATGGCGGAGAAAAGCTAAAGTTGTTCAAGCCTCCAAGTGGGAGATTGTTAAGATTTATGGAGTCATGAACAAATTGACAAGTTCCTAAAAGTTCAAGGGCCATAAATGTAACTTAGCAAATTAAACAATTTAACTGTATTGTTTAATGGAAAGATGGACGGTGGTTCAATTATTTAATATTGAATGGACGCACATTTTAGGTGGAATAGTTTTGGACGGCATATATTTCAATTCAAATATGGCGGCTCAATTTCATGTGCAAATTGCGGCTCACAAACATATATATATATATATATATATATATATATATATATATATATATATATATTGCAAGAAGAAAGTGTGCAGCAGCGTAGCGCAGAACAACAAAAGTGCCGAGTGATATTATCATTTGTAATCTTATAGTGAGTTAATATAAAATCTAGTTGAGCCCGTGGACGTAGGATTTACATCGAATCTGAACCACGTAAAATCTTTGTGTTCTTTATTGCTTTATTTTTCGTGAGTTTGTGAGTGTGTGACAGTGTGTTTCCGCTGCGTGTACCCGGTCCGATTCCTAACACCAATCAACTATATATATATTAAAAAAAAATGCTTGCTAAAATACATTTTTTTTCAAACCTTCGGAAGACATTTCAGGAAAAGCATGTGCATATTAATTGCATCCATGGTACCATTTTCGATAAGCTTATCAAAGATCAGTGTAACCACTTCAACAAAAGCTTTTTCCACATTTTTATTGTCCTTGGCAGATGTTTCAATGAAGACAAGTGATTCCCTCTCCGCAAGTTCCTTTCCAGCATCTGTACAAGTAGTGACAAAGTCATTCACCAGGTCAGATTTATTCCCAATGAGCATCACCTCAATTTCGCCATTTGCAATTTGTAACTCCTTATACCACTTTTCAGCGTTTTCAAAGGTGGAAAGACTGGTGACATCGTAAACAATGAGTGCTCCGTTTGTGCTTAGCACTTCTGTAGAAATATCACTGTAACTACTATTCCCAGGAATATCCACAATCTGAGCCTTGAAGACCTTTCCATCAACACATACATGTCTAGCAGCAATGTTGTTTGTACTTGTGGGTTTTGGGTCGGGTCTAAACTTCCCCCTGGTGAATCGTGAGACTAAGCTAGACTTGCCTACACCAGAGTCGCCAATCAACAACAAATTGAGAAGATGATCATGTCCATCATGCGCACTGCAATCAGTCATTTCCATGTGCTAGTATTTGAAAAGACGATTTAGATTGATTTGATATTTGAAAGAGGGTCGGTGATTTATAACTTCCTATTCGACCTTTGAAGTTCAGTGCACAAACTTATTTGGGTATAAGAGATTCACCATTATCATCTTTGATTGTTTAATTAATGATAGTAAATGATCTTGGAACGTTTTTAAAACTGTGAATACAGATGGTCACATGAAACAACTTAACCATAATTACAAGATATAAAATATTGAATAGCTAGCTTGAAACGTTATTTTTTTCAATCGAGCTTTGGAACTCCTTGTTAAGCGCTCTTATCATTCATAAGAGAAGTGTGTATCTTTGTAATAATAATTTCTACCACTAGGTATGTATTAGATTAGGTTTGTTATTATGGTGTTTTCCACAATGTAAGCCTTTTTCTAGGTGTATAAATAAGGATCGTTTGATCCATGCAGAGGCATCCCACATTTGAATGAAAATTTAGAGCCCCCAGAAAGTACATGCTGTTGTAGTTTTCACTGTAACTATTAAATGACGACAAGAATGGCCCGTCCCTGTTTTAGTTAAGGTTACTTTTTGTACTTTGTCTATACAATACGGTTGATAGTTAGCGTTTCAGTTGTACTATCATTTTTTAAGCACGTTAATAAGACTACTTCCTACTTCAATGTAAACGTAGGTCGCATTAATTATTATGTCTTTGTGTGTATGTGATATATTCTTGTTTATTACTAATAGGTGGTTTCTTTTATTTGTTGAAGAGATTTTGTCCCAAAAATTCAATGGTTCAAATGATTTCACTTTGTGGAAAGTAAAGATTAGCGGCTCAACAAGATTGTATGGAGGCTTTGGAAAGAAAACTGAAATTATCAAAATACATGGTTGAGATGTTGAAGAAGGTTATTATGACAAAAAACGCATAGTGTTATTCCGATAAGTTTACATTGTTATGGGAAGTTGTGGATCAAATGATTGTTGTTGGGATATAGGAGAAACTCTCATAATAACTCTTTGGAAAAAACTTTTGTACAGTCCATTCAAATGTATGGAAGTACTTAGGTAAAGGATCGTACTATCCTAGATTTACAAGGTGTCAAAGGTAAGATTGATGAGGGGGATTAAGCTCTAATTCAGTTATGTTCATTGTCAAATTCATGAGAGTATTTTGTTGATGCCATGTAGTATGGTAGAACAACGGTTACTGTTAAGGATTCTTTGCTTTCTAAAAAAACTAAAATGAAGGTTTCAGTTAGTGAACATGTTTCTGGTCTAGGTCTGTTCTGTAGGTGGAGGAAGAAAAGCGGGAAGATAGAGAGATGGTGGAAATAATGGACAAGTCATGTTCCAAATCTAAAGTTTTCGTTAAGATTAAATGTTATAAATTCAAAGAAGATGGGCACTACAAAAGAGACCACCCACAATGAAAGAAATGGAATTTCAAGAGTCAATCAAGCAATAATGGCAGTGTTGTTCATGGCAATGAAGGGGGCAGATGTGAAGTATCGACTATATCCAATGAAAAGTAGAGAACAATAAACATGAATATACAACATAAATAACAAGAAAACAACAAACTCATCTGTAACTAAATAGAACATGCCATTATCAACTGTACAATTAATTCTACGGGTGACATGTTCACCAAGAAGGTAACACTCGTCCTCCAATATTCTTCCTTTCAGTTTCAGGCTTTGGATTTGAAGCACTTGTGTGAATCTCACAGACCTTGTCAAACAACTCCAAATCCAAATCCTCATCTGGAATTTCATAAAAATAGTCAACAGTTTCTGCAACTGGATCCGGTTTTGGTTTTTCAAATACCCTTTTCTTTGAACGTGCAGTGCTTGCAACAAAATCATCTTCATCTTCATAACCTAAATCCCCATTTGGGATTTTGTCTAATGTGTTTCTCCTTCTTTTTATGGAATCTGTACTGTTGCTGCTGCTTTTGGTTTTGCTTTTGGTTTTATCTGTAGTGTTGTTGTAATGAGCATTTACAGTATCTTCAATGATTTTCAAAACTCGATCCCCATACTTGCTTACTTTTGCCCTGTGTTGTTATCAGCATTTCTCTTATAACTCAAAACAATCATATCGTAATATATATATATATATATATAAAACAAAAACTATAAATATACTCTATTATTATTAAGCAACTAACTTACTTGCCAATTCCATGAACTTCAAGAAGCTCTTCCTTAGTTCTGGGAATCTTTCTCCCTATATCGTGTAGTGTTTCATTCCTAAAATCAACAAAAGTCAGACGTTTCCTTTTTACTTCTAACTTTGTTTTTTTACAAAATTGCCCTTACACAAAAATGTGATGTGCGGAGTATGACATGCCCTTTTCTGATGCTTCCCTGAGTAGATGAGTTCGAAGGAGTCGCAAAGCCGAGTATAGCTTTGCTGAAAGCGCCTGTTGTACAAATATTATAGTATGAAATTTAAAAAAATAATTAAGTGGGGAAAAAAAAAAAGTCAACATACTGAGTCTCCTTGTGTCTGAGGTTGAGCAGAAGTGTCTAATTGCACAGGGTTTTGTTTTGATGCTGATGTTGATGTTGATAAGCCTCTTGCTGGAGTTGCATCATTTCTTAAGGACTTGAATGCTTTAACACCAGAAGGAAATCTATAAGGCAACCAAAAAAACCATTAAGCATCTGTTTATTAAAGCATATCCTACATTGATTCACTTATTTCCTATTACAGCATTATACTCTATAAAATCTACCCAGTTATATATAGCATTTAGCTGTTGAAAGAAGATATAAAAAAATGTCAGGAATAATTTTAGGAGTATGAAATGAAAGAGATGGACCTTAAAGTTATGGTCTGCCGACCTGCAATTAAACTTCCAGCCTTCTTTTCATTTACCTAAACACAGCACAGAAAAGTAAATTGTTTATTAAAAAAAGCAATTTTCACTGATAAAATTAAAAAAATAATGGAAGTAGGATGCTACAATAGTATAAAACAGTAATATATATATATATATATATATATATATATATATATAAAAAAGTAGATTGGTATTTCTTACCTTCAAAACCGATGAAGCAGATCCATAATCGCTTTTCTTTACATCTTCCACAAGAATCTCCTCAACAACAAGATGACGAAGCACACGCGATGCTTCCCCTTTGGCTGCATTTTTTCCAGCTCCATGCAATCTTAATTTATCATGTTTGTACTTTTTAACCTTCATTTTTCCACAAAGTCAACAAGGTCAAAATCACAATTCACAAATCACAAACAAATGAAATTAAATTCCAATTTACAAATAACAAAATATTGAGAAAATTACAATTTGGCTCATGGAACCCTTGTAGACATCCAAGATATGAGATGCTGAGACTTGCTGCTGTGTTAGTTTGACCAAGTCAACCTGCACATCAAAACAATAAACACATAATTTCCAATGTCACTAGATAAAGAATTACAGATTAGAATGTATGATTTCTAACCAAGTGTTTTGCGACTTGGGTGACATCTTTTTCCACAAGGGTTTGACTTTTCAAACAATTATCACATGTTTTTTGGCAGTTGAAAGAGTCAAACTTTTCCCCAAAATGGACAAGTTGTAGAAAACGTCTGCAGTCAACCTCGTTTTCACAGTAACTGACCTGTAACAAAATGTCAAATTATTAGAAACCTCAGCTGTTGCAAAAGACGTAAATGCCCTTGTGAACCTAATTAGAAAGATTTTCTAGTACCATTCTTAAAAGGTTTTCAGTATTTGTTTCCAGTATCCTTCCTGAATTTGATGTACCCATACGAGGAGATGCAAAAGAGGTTTGTTCAGCTCCATAACTAAGCATTAGCTTCACTCGGATCTGTAAATAAAAATATGTGTCAGCATAATAATAATAATAATAATAATAATAATAATAATAATAAACAGATCATTGAAAGTATGTTGCTATTTCTTGCACTTAATCAACAACTAGATAATAGGTTTTCAGCAATGACTTACATAATCACTATAACTATAATACAACACACAGGAAGAAAGCTGGCCATCTCTTCCTGCACGCCCACACTCCTACATCACAGCTCCATGGAATTCAGATTTATTAATGACTTTAACTCAACACATATCTTATTTATAAATTAACTATAAAAATAAAAAAGTAAAAAGTAAAAACTAATACCTGATGGTAACCCTCAATTGATTTAGGAAGAGAATGATGAATCACAAACCGAACATCCGGTTTATTAATACCTGAAATAATTGCAACATAACATTATTCTTATTCATTATTCATATAAATAATAACCACAACAATTAGTGGATCATAACATTATTCTTATTCTTATTCTTATTCATACCCATTCCAAAGGCCACAGTTGCGCATATTATATTAATCTCATCTTTACTCCACTGCCTTTGAACTAATGCACGCATATCAGGATCCATAGAACCATGATAAAAACCTACTTTGTGCCCATACTCCTGAAAACAGTATCTCCACAAATTAATAACTAGATAAATATATATTCCAAAACTTGTATCTGAAGTCTGAACAACCTTCAATTTCTCAGCAACTTTTTCACAGTCCATCCTTGAAAGACAGTAAATGATTCCACATTCATCAAAATGTCTCTTCTTAATGAATTCATGCATCTCCTCAATACATTTTTTTGTCTTGGGGACAACTGAAAACCTGAAATAGTAACATAAATATTACAAGGTCAACCACAGTCAACACATTCTAATTTATAGCATACAATATTTAGAACCTTAAGTTTGGGCGATTGAAACTCTGCCTAAAAATAACACAGTCAACTAAACCAAGAGCCTGCACTACATCTTCCTTTACACTGGCTGTAGCAGTTGCAGTTAAAGCCAGTACAGGTACTGTTGGAAATTTTTGCTTCAAAATCCCAAGACCCTGTATATAATAACACATTTGTTGTTTAACAATGTAGCATACTTTTTATATGAAAGAAATAGCAATATACTTTCATTGATTTGTTTATTATAGCATCAAACTTTTATAGCTTTTGTAATCCGTATACACAAAGAAAAAAGAAACAAGCTATAATTGGGTAGATCTTTTAAAGATAATGTAGTCAAAAGCTATCACCTGATAATCTGGTCTGAAATCATGTCCCCATTGGCTTACACAATGTGCTTCATCAATGACAATTCTAGATAGTAATTCTCTTGCATGTATGTTTTCCAATTGTCGTAGCAAAAAGTCACTTCTGCGTTCATGTAACAATTAAAAGAGTGATTAGCAAAATATAATAGTAGGATGGAAAAGGTATTAGTTAAGATGACATTTCAATTTTCAACTACATCTTTGTATCTTTCAAATGAGTGGACTTCGCATGCTTGCATTATTATTTCAAGGAATTTTGTTTCCAGATTAAGATATATGAGATTGTTGAACTTATCTCTAGTCAAATTCAAACATATTGTATTTTTTTTAAATAAGATGGCCCTACTTTAAGAAGGATAATAGGAACTCACTTTGCCACTTTCTCTGGGGTGACATATAACAGCTTGTAGTTACAGTTGTCTGAGCAAAGCTCTCTTAGAATCTCTTGTTGCTCACTCCACTCCATAGTGGCACTTAAGTAAGCAGCAGGAATGTTTGCCTATGGTGCAACCAAAAAAAAAAGATAATATAGCATCTTTTAATTTAAAAAACTCAATGTACATCTTGAAAGAAAAAAAAAAAAAAAGAGAGACCAATACAGTGAATGAGAAAATTTTCATATACCTGCAAGAGATGCATTATTTGATCTTGAATCAGTGAAACAAGAGGTGAGATTACCAATGTTATACCAGGACAAATAAGAGCAGGAAGCTGCACAAAAAGAAAAACAGAGTTCAACAATTATGGGAAATTAATAAATATTTTAAAATGGGGAAACAAAAAGGGAATGCAGTACCTGATAAGTCAGACTTTTTCCACCTCCAGTTGGCATTAAAACAAAAACATCCTTCCCACTCATTGTTGCGTTAATCACTTCTCTTTGGTTAGGTCGGAATGAGTGATTCCCAAACACCTTTTTGTTATTAGCCTAAGAGCAGAATAAAAAGACGATTATACCCCTAATTCATGTTGGTGGTAAATGGTGAATGTCACACTCACACTGTCACACATACCTCCAACTCCTTGGTCCATGGAAAATCTCGCTTACTCCAGTTCTTGTCATCTGAACCTTCAATGTAATTGACTTCTACATACTTTGGAATGTATGGTTCCCTCTCTACAGGAGCTGAAGAAACACTGACATTACTAACTGAGGAATATGATACTGATGGTGAATTCCATCTATTATTCTCATTATGCATGTCATTATGCATGTAAAATTGATCATCAAGTCTTGTGGCATCAACTCTTGAAGCAAATGTTGGAGGAGTTTCATACTGAAAAGATCTAGTGGAAGCAGTATTTGGTGTGAAGTTTGATTTGGGTCCTTCATGATCAACCATTCTAGATTGAAGATGTTTCTCAAGCTGTTGGATTTGCTTATTCAGCATTATCCTGTTATAAGAAAAAAAATATCAGGTAACAAGTCTGATATTGTTGTCAATGAGGACGCAAATAAAGAATTAAGCAAATAGAAAAAGATGGGAAAAAAAAGCTGAATGTGTTGATTCGCTTGTATATTGCAATAGCAACGTACTTTCCATTTATTTATCTATTATAGCACCCTACTTTCATTTTCCTTTTTTTACAAGTTACAACATTGTACTTCTAATCTTTTCTTATTAAGGCATTATTCCTTTGGAAATCTACCCAGTTATGACAGTGAAAATTAATTTGTGTTTGGATGACATTGCTATCATTGGGTAGATTTTTATAGTACAATAATGTTGTAATAGGGAGAAATGAAAGTGGGATGCAATAATAAGCAAATCAATGAAAGTGTGTTGTTATTTCTTGCATTTAACCCATTAGTAAACAAAGAACTTTATTTGATCAAAACTTACCTCATCAAAAACATCAGAAACAGTATGTTGTTGTAATCGTGAGTTAGTTACAAAATTCTAAGAAACTCAGTGGAACTATGTTATCAATTTATAGTTTCTTTTGATAAAAACCAATCAAAACCAACCTGCTGCTTACTGGTTCTACTTTTTAAAATGCTACTAAAAGTACCAAACTTCTCATTGATTCTAGAATTTTTTTCTTTTTTTTAAAAAACTGATTATAAGACTGCATTTTTATTTCAGAAGGCAGAAAAGGAAGGATACCTATCTTGGCGAAGCTTCTCTATTTGATCTGAATTCAGGTCAACATTGTCAAGTAGATCATTTGATATTGAAATGAGCATGTCCTTCATTATTTGCAAATGATTTGAAGCTTCAGGACAATGTCCTAGCTGAACCAATTTTAAAAGTTAGGCATAAAATTAGAGTCCACCACAGAACTAGCAAAGATCAAAAGTTTAATGATTTAAGTTACTTACCTTAAAACCATGACTGCATTCCACACATAGTTCTAGAGGCAAACTTATGTCATCATGTCTTGAAATGCTAGCTGGATTGACAGGTGGAAACTTCAAGGTTGATGATGGTGGTGTGCAAGATGACTGGTAGTGTTCAGAGACTATTTGATCCAAATCAAGATTCTGAAAATTGAAGTTGATTGACGATGCAATTAAACAATTTTAAGATACATTGTTTATCAAGGCCTTATTTAGTAGCATGAATTACCAGAAGGATATCATCATCATCATCAATGCCACCAGTGTCAGTTTCTTGAAACCCTTTGAAGTGGCCTGCATTTGTACCATAGTTGTGTATGCCATGACCTGAATTTGTGGCATTGTTGTATGATGCGTTCATATTTCTCCTAGAAGCTTCCATGGGATTTGATGCATAACCACCATGATTTGTGGCATTGTTGTATGATGCATTCATATTTCTTCCAGAAGCTTCCATGGGATTTGATGCATAACCACCACTAAACATAGTTCCAAACCTTCCAGAAGCTTCCGCCACATATGTTTCATTTGATTGGTGTGCTTGATTTTGTCCCAAATTTTTGTTATTCACATTAGAGGAAAATTGTTGAGTAGGTTTTCTAACATCTTGAAATGAAGCAGAAGTAGAACCACCATTATTAGCCAGTGGTCTGCTTTTACCAGGTTTTATATAATTCCTAGAAGACAACTTCAGGTTGGAAAGAGCTCGCCAAGCCTGTAAAAGCTTATATATCAGTTGACCAAACAGTTATAAAATATAAAGACATAAAAGATGACAATGTAAATTAAATAAAAAAGTGTTACCTTGTCAACATGTTGACTTTGTGAGTTTGTAACATTTTGAAATTGGGAAGAAAGTGATCTACAACAAATGAAAAACAGTGAAGTCCCAAACATGATATCACGGAAAAGAGCAAATTATAGAAATAGAATTAGTTTCAGTAAATCATGGAAACTGTACCTTACAGCTGCTGACATGGCTCCTTCAACACAAGGTTTTTGTGTTGACAAAGAGAAAAGGAAACTTGATTTCAAGAATTTATCTTGGTTTGAAAAATTATCATGTGCTTTGGCATGTTGAGACCAATTGTCCCTTGTAGGCTTGTCCACATGATTAGAACCTCCACCAAAGTTGTTTCTACTGAGATTAAACCACAGAAAATAAAACAAATAAGAACAGAAAAAGAAAAAGACGATTGTCATCAAACAAAATTATAAAGAGAAAAATGAACCAGAGTTCTTACTTCATATGGTTTGCCTCTGTCATTCACTAACATGTTCATCTAGAAACAAGCACATTCCCCCATCTTATAAAACAATAAATGAGATATGGCCCTTGATGCCAATTTGAAATGATATCTATAAACAGACAGAAGAGATGACAAGCACAAATGTAAGATGAATAACAAAAAAAAAAAAAAAAGTTTCACTGATGAACAGCCAGAACAAAAATGTACGATTGTTTGAACATGAGCATGAAAAGTGAAAACATCCAAGAAAGACACATGCTTTTGCAACTACTGTAGGATTACACTAGCAAGCAAGACACAAGTAGCAATTGGTGTAATTTTCCTCAAGGTCTATTTAGAGATATACAATAGACATAACTACTGTCGTAGTGAAAATGGTCATTGTAAAGAGAACTATCCAGTAGAGAGAAATTAGTTCCAAGTTCAAACCATATTTTGCAATCAAACAGCACAGATAGACACAGATAGACTGTTTATCAATGTACATTAGTGTTCTCAGGTCCCTTTATGATCGACTTACTGTTTGTTGACTGTCTAGATGAAAGGACACTCTAGAAAGACTTTCCAAAGAACGCTAAGATGACATTGTTTCGGATTCTCAGCTACATTCATGCTAAATGACTCCAATTTGAGCTATATTGGTTCTATAAATCATTATGATTGCCTAGGATACATTAACCACTTAAATACCATTTCAACACTTAATTTATGAATAACAAACAGACCAGAATAAGCATTTCCGGAAGTATAGCTAGTGATTAATTTTAAAATTCTAAACAACCTGAACATCCAGGACCTCATGGTGCATGCATTTGTGGTGTGTTCACTGGAGATGAAAGCTACCATATGACCTAACATTGATACATAGAAATGAAAAATAAAATAGGATGAGAGAGAAGAACCTAACCGCTGGAAATATAAATTTAATCGATGAAAGCTTCAGTCGGAAATGATAGTCGGGCGGCGGTGTTGCTGGCGTTCGCGTTAGCTGGTGGAGTGTTAGAGAGAGAGAGGGAGATAGAGAACTAAAATTCTTTGAAATCGAAGAGCTGTGCGAAGTGGCGGGATATTTGTGGGTCGTGATTAGGGCGCGAATCATCATTCCGGTTTCAACCCGACCCGCATCCTGTTTGGTTCCATTTTACATTCATTTCCACATAGAAAAAAAAATGGTATCATATCCACTTTTACGAGCATTGTGAAGATTATGAGAATAAAACAAAGGGGTTTAGGTTAAGTTTAGTAATTGAATTTTTTTTAGGTAATTATATTTTATTTAAGTTATCATTTGTTATTGAGCTTTTTTATTTTTGTTTATTTTAGTCATTCTAACCATGGATAGTCAATGTATAACATTAAACGACGTTGTTAAGGTTATAATTAGTCACTGAATTTTTCTAAGTGTTTTATTTTACTCATTATATTTTGTTTAAACTATCATTGGTCACTGAACTTGTTTTCTTTTTCATTTTAATTACTCTAATTTTTATTATCATTTACAAAAAAAATTAAAAAAAAAGCACTATTTTTATCCTTTTCTCCGCACTTGTTACATAGCTTGCACATTTAGTCCTTAACTTTTTTAACTTGACCGATTTCAATGAATTTAAAAATATATTTTGCTCTTGCCGTCGGTAAACGCACCCACTCACCATCGATAAGTAGTTTCACTTTGGGTGACCCCATAAGAAGTTTTTGTATCGGTGGCCCAAAGTTTAAGCGGCAGACACAAACTTATTATGTTTGTATATTGTGGTTGTGAAACACTCATCATATGGGTAGTTTAAAATAATCTTTAAAATAGTTTTAAAATCATTACAATAAATTTCCCTATTAGAAAACATCATAAAACATAAAATATCTTTTAGAGGTAACATAAATTGTAAAAAAAAAAAGTATATTACATCACATCACAATCAATATAATTAACAAATGTAAGGTGTAAATACTATTTCAAACTACTCTTTTAAATGTCCTCAAGCTCTATGATCTCAACATCTATTAAATATACCCTAATAAATAAGAATGATTTTGTCACATGTCTTATTCTATTTCATTTTGACACTTGTCATTTTCTAGATTTTTTGAATTATTTAATATCCACTTGTCATTTTTATAGTTTTTTCTTTTTTATTCAAATTTCACCTATTAAATGTCACCTCATATTAATTAATTTTATTAATAGATGAATTAATGCACATAATAACTTTCTATTTGTGAATTCTTCTTTCCATTAATATATTAATTAATGTATGTGTATATTAATATAGATAGTACATTCCATTTGTAAATTCATATTAATAAATTTTATTAGTATAGATTAATTAAGACCAAATTACATGAATGGTCCATGTAGTTTACCAAAGGTTATAAACTCAGTCGTTACTTATTTTTTTATGAACATGGTCCTTATGGTTATCAAAACTTACGTGAATGGTATTTTTTTACTCACACAGCTACTTTTTGGTCCTTCTAATGAACCCGTGTAATACACGGGTCTCACACCTAGTATACTAAATAAGCGTTAGCACATATCAAAATAATACGTTAGATATAAGGAGCATAATGATTTGTCTTTGGATTTGACACTAAAAATAAAGTATATAAATTGGCATAGCCTTTATACAAGTGAAACAACAACATACTTCTTCCAAAACTCATTAAAATCTTTAAATCTCAATTTTGGGGAAAACAATACATAAGTATATTATTATAACATCATAAAGACAACATTGTATATGTATCCATTGAAATATATGGAACCAAAGCTGAAAACTCAAGTCATCTACAACTCATAAGTCGATGTCCCTCACTTTAAGGGATTCTTATTGTAATTATATTGCGGGCAAAGATGCTTATGAGCATCATCTATAGTAAAACCAACATAAAGCATGCTACACGAGATCCTACTTTGGTTCATCAATGGAAGTGTGTTACTTTTAACCATGACATATAAATTATATGATGAATAGTTTCAAAACTCAAAATAAATAGTAAGGGATGTGTGATCATGGTAACTCGTCTTAACTTCTAGCTTTCCAAATCACTACTTTATTTAATAAAAGTTTTTCTCAAACACCACATGTATCATTTAAGTGTGTTACTAAAAATGACCAAAATACCCTCAGTGTCGGTAAATAGTCAAACGCTCAAATTATTCGTTATTTATCTAAATATGAGTAATGTAATTGAAATCATGATAAACGGATGAGCAAAACCCCTCAAACTATAAATTTTAGGTTATAAACTGTAAAGGTGATGTAACATCCAAAAAATACTGTAGTTGAATTGTATATGAGAAATCGATTAAGAACAAGATCAATCAATGTAATGAACTCAGAAAGTAAATAAGACTTTGAAGTTTCTATTACTCTCAATAAGCTTGATTACAAAAGTAGACTATGAAATCTGGAAAACTCGTAGTCTAAACCAAAGCTCAGTCCCTATTTATAGGAAACATGAGAGTACAAAAAATACTAAGTCTGGAACCATTACGCTTCGTACAAAAGTGACTTAGTAAATACATTATATACTAAATAGACTAAACACAATTCGACTCTTTACAAGACATCGACCCTTACAATCTCCCCCTTTGTAAACGAGTCGAACTACTCAATTCGTGAGAATCTGAGCAGCTAAGTGCATCATCCTTCGTATCTCAGAATACCATGTTATTACCTTCTTTAACTCCTTCTTGTCACAATCATTTTTTTTTCGAACAATAAAGTTCGTATATTGTGACGTTGTATATCTTTCGATCTCAGCAACTTGAAAGAGAAATCTCTTAGCCTTTCCTTTAGTGTCCTTCCCAGCAAACACTAAACCAAACGGTTTTAAACATATCTCTCCATCAGCATACTTTTTCAACTCAGCCTGTGTCTTTGAAAGTTCCATTGCAACAGAGACTTTCTTATCCATACTCGAAGCCAACTCTTCGTCAGTCAGGGCAAGACAATCATAATAATTGTCAATGAAGATTTTAATGTGAGCAAGACCTAGTCTGAACACTTCTTTGTCTGTACCCTTGAGTTGTGATGCCTCCATTTCTTTTAAAAGTAATGCAACTTGAATAAGATCATTCAAGTTCATTAGAGGGAAGTCTGCAATACTGAAATCGATTTCTTGATTGTTTGCACGAATCACATGATACCTGAAATTTTGTATCATGTCTTCGAACAAGACATCTTTCTTAGTAGCAACAACTTTCTTGATCTTGATCAGAGACCACACTTCATCTTGCTCTTTTCCAAGTACAGCATGAAAACGAATTTTCATGTGTGTATAATCATCTGGGTTTTTAAATTTCTCACTAATCTTGTATTGAGCAGTGATAAACATCATTTCGTTTATCGGAAAGTCCAACTGACAAAAATCAGTGTTAGCAATCGAATAGCTTTTCCTTGGTTTCTTTTCGAAAGCATACATATGATTGAATGCAACTCTCGATTCGATTGATTCATATGAATACAACTTTTTGGGATCACCTTTGTCCATTCCAGGTGGATCATTTTCTCTCAACCTCAGAATACTTTGAATATGCCTTTGAAGTTTGATTTCAGCCTCCACCTCTGCTTTCTTTTCTTCTTTAGACTTTCGACTAGCACATATTTCCCTTTGTCTTTCGAATCTTAATTTGGTTTTAAGGAACTTGAACTACCCCCTTCTGTAGCTGAATCAATCACAATTCCTTTTGGTTTTGTAAAAGGTTTTGTGGTAACAATTGTTGTTGAAATAGTATCAGACTTCACTGGAATTGAAACAGGAATTTGTGTAGAGAACACCTTTCCAACAACTTTCGAATCTCCAGTTGTTATCTTTTCTCCTTCTCCCTTTCTATTCACATTTACTCCTTTGCTCACTTTCGTTTCTCCCCCTTGCACCCCTGTGTTAACATGTGGGGAATTCTATGGCAACATTTGAGCAAACTTGGAAATGGGAGCAACCGCCTTCTGAATAACATGATCAAGTAAATTCAACTTCTGAGTAAGGAACTCAGGAGTTAAAAACGAAGTTGGAG